TCGTTCGTGGGCGACGTGGCCAAGGACCTGGGGCTGCAGATGCCGGAACTCGGCGACCGCGTAATCCGTATCCTGGACAAAGGTAGGACGCAGTATTTCGCCCTGCATGGAAAGACGGGACATTTAGTGACGGCCGAGAGGATCGACAGAGAGCAGCTGTGCCGGCTGATGGAGCAATGCGTGCTGCGCTGTGAGCTGATAGTGGAGGGGGAAATGAAGGTTTACGGAATCCAAGTGGAAATCACGGACATTAACGACAACGCACCGAGCTTCCGACAGTCAAAGAAAGAACTGAGATTGAGCGAAACGACAGTCCCAGGGTCGCGGTTTCCCCTGGCTGAGGCTCACGATCCGGACTTGGGACAGAATTCCCTGCAGAGCTACGAGCTGAGCGGCGGCAAGCACTTCTCGCTGGCCGTGCAGACGGGCCCCGGCGGAGATCAGCGTCCCGAGCTGGTGCTGGCGAAGGCGCTGGACCGGGAGGAGGCGGCGTTTCACGAGCTGGTGCTGAGGGCAAGAGACGGCGGCGATCCGTCCCGGACGGGCACGGCGCGGATCCGCGTGACGGTGCTGGACGCGAACGACAACGCGCCCGTGTTCAGCCAGGCGGAGTACACGGTGCGTGTGCCGGAGGACGTGCCAGTGGGCTCCATTCTAGTCACCGTGACGGCCACAGACGCCGACGAGGGGCCGAACGGGCAAGTGGAATATAGTTTCCATAAAATTTCAGACCGAGAGTCAGAACTTCTCCATCTGGACTCTGAGACAGGAGAAATAACTGTCAAGAACGACTTGGATTTCGAGGAAATCTCCTCTCATGAATTGGAAGTGCAGGCACATGATGGAGGAGAGCTCTCTGATACGGCTAAAGTTTTTATTACGGTGACAGACATCAACGACAACGCGCCCGAACTGACAGTATCGTCTGCTGTGAGCGAGATCTCGGAGGATGCCCCATCAGGAACGGTGGTGGCACTAGTGCACGTGCACGACCGCGACTCCGGGGCTAACGGTGAGGTGCGCTGCTCCCTCGACGGGGGTGTCCCGTTCCGCCTGGAGAAATCCTTGGAGGACTATTACCGCGTGGTGACGGCGAGAGAGCTGGACCGGGAGCAGGAGTCGGA